AGCATTGCGCTGAGGTACTGATGCACAAAAATCCAACATGGAAATCCAAGCTCTACTGCTCCATTTGTTCTCAGGATGTTCTGCTCTGTTTCACTTGGCATTTTTCTTCTGTTCGATGGCCCGGTTTGATTTGTCTTAGTCAACCGGTCATGGCCCAGGAGTGAACACTGTGTGAAATAAAACTTATCATCATCTACTTCCTGCTTTTAACAGGGCAAAACATTCCTGATGTCAAGTTTTTGTATGTTCTTTAAGTGGCTTTATCGGGAGCCACTGTTGGACACGATTGGATCTTGACACACCCTGAATGAAAAATATTGTTAAAATGTGTATGTTTGCTTATTTTAAAATCAAACTTTTTCAGTTTTGAGAAGCTAGACAGGTGATCTAGACAAGGTGTAGCTCGTTCCCTCCATGCGAACAATGGAGAAAGTGCGGCGCTAATGGGATCAGGATTTCATTTGACATCAGATTTGGCAGCGTTAAACACCGTTTGCTGTTAAAGTTTTACTCACAAGCGTAATCGGATTTCAGCGTGTGACGAAAAATCCCGTCTCACGAGGCGGGTGTTAAATCGGACATCTCTCAGGCCTGGACGGTATATAGCGTCATATGTTGCTTAATTACACATTTAATTAGTGGATTGTGCTCTGTTCAAACCAAGTGAGCTAAGCTGAAGTTTCTCATAAGAGCTTCTGCTGCAGCAAATTAAATGGTGTTCCACTCCTCTGTCCCGCTATCTTTTGCTCATCTCTCATTTGACCCGTTTATCTCTGTCTGTTGTCCGTGCCTCATGTCTGCCTCTTCCTGCAGGATATCTGATCATGACAGACGAGTGGTTTTCGGAGTATGTGTACGAGGTGGTGGTGGATAAGAATTTCCTCCCTCCTGAAGTGCTGGACGTCATGCAGCAGGACCCCATCGTCCTCCCAGCCTGGGACCCCATGGGAGCTCTGGCATAACCATGGGAGCCGAAGGAACTGGTCTCAGCCTGGTCTCCTTGACTCTGCCTCCAACTGGTTTTTACCCTCCTACCATCTCTCACAAAAAGCCTACCCTAGATATAAAAAAATAAATAAAGATTTTTGCCTCTTTTTTTATTATCACTGGAGTCTGAGTGTGGAATCATTTCAATGCATCATTTGCTTAGTATAATTCCTGATTTAATCAGCATTACGTGATTTGAATTCTGGCATCTTTGAGATATATACACTGCCATTCAACTTTCTTTTTTTTTTTTTTCTTTTTTTGGAAGAAATCTGAATATTTA